TTTTGGTTTTGATTTGCAGCAGTAATGGGAAATTTTGGATGCATTCCTATATTATGACACTCCTTAAGTCAAAATAAGAGCTCTGGTGGCAGCCTTGTGGCCCTGGGGATTCCCCGGGGTTCAGACGTGGTTTCCCCTCCCTGTTTGCTGCTTTAAAAAGCTGAACTGGGGCCAGTCTGGGTGGGGGAATGTTGAGAATCTCCTGTTGCCTCTGTGAGAAACGCCAATCACTTGTTTTTAACATTTTCAAAGTTTAATAGTAATAAAATTGTTATAAATTTAATAATATATAAATATAATATATATAATAATATAGAAAATATAATAAAATAGTAATAAAATTAGAGTAGTAACAATTTGGACCATTAGGATTAGGACAATACAAGACAAAAACAAAGAGTTACAGGCAGTCTAGGTATGTGTGCTGGTTACAGCAGGCAAGGTGAGAGCAGAGCATGGCTGGGCTCAGATACAGCCTCTGCTTCAGGAGACTGTCCCCTGTCACCAGGATGATGAGAGGAACAAAGCCAACCCCTCTGATGGCTTTCCATGGAGGTTTGATCCATGGCAGCAGTGCTGCTACTGCCAGCAGTGTGCTGCTCCCTGATGGAAACTGGTGAGGAAGCTCTGGAATGATCAGTAATTACAGAGGGATGTTGGAACCCAGGACATTCCTCTGGCTGCCCTAAAAGACTCAAGCCCCTGCCCAGAGGGCTCAGAGACCTTGGCACAGAGCCCAAGACCCCTGTGCCTTTGATGTAGCCCTTGGAAAAAACAATTACCAACCTTATATGAAGAATTACAAGCCACAAAAGTTTCAGTAGAATGATAGTGAATTTATCACAAAGTGAAAAATGGATTTTTTAGAGTTTTTAGCATAGAAGTTCAAGGAGCAAGATAGAAGAATCTAAGTGTGTCCAGTCTTTCTCCTTCTTCTTCTTCTTGTCCTCCATCTTTTGCTGTGATGGTGGCACTTTTAGATTGGTTTAGAGTAGAAGCTCACTGTCTAACATAGGTGATAGGTATTGGAAATTATTGTAAATATTGTACAGGTAGTTTTTAGTATAAAAAGATAACCCTGCCCCAAGAGCAAACAGAGTGCCTCTGACTGTCCTGCTGAGCAGACCTCGGCTGAACAGGAGAGAAAATTTTATAGATAAGAAACAATAAACAACCTTAAGAGCGAGAACTGAAGAGTTCAAACTCCTTCTTTGACCGCCGAGCTAAGAAAAAAACTTTCTAATGTATCTCAAAGTCACTCTGAGCAGGTGAAAGTCCTGGGAGAGGGAGATCCCAGGAGCATGGAGATGTACAGGGAGCTGAGCACATGTTGCCCAATCCCACCACAGAGCCAGGAGCAGAGGGCAGGGTCCTTTTCCCCCAGAAACCTGCACAGATCCTGCTCCTGGGCTGTTGAAAGCTGAAGCCTTACCACCAGCAAATTACTCAAGTATATATTTTAATAATGTACAGCCATAGGTCTTACGTGATTTGTTCTCTAAAGATTGATTTAGCTTCTTATTAAGGGAATTGGGAATTCGGTGTGAAAATCTGAACAAAATCTAGGCGGTTTTTAGGGTTTTTAAAATATCCACTAGTGGAACTCACCAGGGAGAAGAATTTCAAAGCCTGTCCAACCCTATCTTGAATTTTTGATTCTCCTGCTTTCTTATTTCCATTCCCAAGGTATGCTTGTTAAGAAAGAACACCTCAGCATTATTGTATTATTTTTAAATAAGCCACAATCACTTTAAGGAGCTCAGGATAAAAAAAATCCACTAATAATTTGATTTTATATTCCCCCCCCCTCCAGTTTTCAGAAGTTTGGTAATGCCAAATGTGCACTGCATACAAATGGCAGGGCGGACAGCTGTAATTGCACACAGAGAAGGCCTTTCCTCTTTAATTACCCCTGGAATTGTAAAGGGATGAGCTCCAGCAGAGCTGTCAGGGCCAGGCCCTCCAGCAGCCGTGTGGGGCTGCTCAGGAGGTGCCTGTAGCTGGTTCCTGGGGTAGCTGTGGGGGTTTCATCCTGGAGAGCTGCACAGGAGGGATCCCTCGTGCTGGCAGGACACACAGGGTCATCTCCAGGGACGAGGACACACTCTCTGGTGGGTGATGGGGCCACCAGCATGGGCACCCAGCAGTGTGGGGCTCTCATCCTGGGAATGGCAGGACGTGGTCTGTGCTCTGAGCATCCTTCAGGGTCACCTCCAGGGCCAAGGACACACTCCCTGCTGGGTGATGGGACCACAGGGCCACCACCATGGGCACCCACAGCATCCCCACAGCTGGATGCCCCTTGGCTGGTGCTGCTCAGGGCTCTCTGGGGTCAGGCTGATGCCAGTGTTCTCCACACAGCAGTCAATGAGCTGCTGAGGTGTTGTTCCTCCTCAGACTGCTCCAAAATGCCTTTTCTCTTCTCCTGGAGATTTTGTAAACTTAAAAGAGAAACATGAAAAAAAATGTTCTCCTCTGTCCAGCCCATTAATTCAGCCTGCTCAGGACAGAATTAACCTTGGCAAGCCTTGCAGAGGAGAGAGTCGTTCTAACCTTAAAAATCTGCTGATTAAAGCTGGTTTCTGGAATTCGATTTCACTTAATGCATTGGCTGCGTGCCCAGCCTGGCATTAACATCTCCACAGACACACAGGCCTCTGCAGCTTTTACCTTCCCACTAAAAAAGAATTTAAAAAAAAAAAAAAAAAAAAAAAAAGAAAACACAGCTAACGAACCCCCCCTTTGCCTGTTTTGAGCAAGAATTTATTTTAAAGGCTGCTTTAGCTAAAGGTATTACTTCTGCCCTGGTTGTGTGTCTGCTCTGGCTGGGCAGGGTGGTAATTCCACTCTGCTCATTAGTTGCAGGGAGGTGTTGAGCTGGCTGGTTGCTCAGCAGCCCTGGGCCATGCTGGGGCCAAAGGCAGGGCTCAGCAGATCTGAGGGCAGGAATATCCCACACCCACCTCCCCACAGCCCCCACGTGCTGAGCTGCAGATTTTGTGTCACCCACAGAGCTTAACCCATTCATCTTGAAAATCCTCCAAAACAGTGACACACAGATTTCCAAGGTTTCTATTTATGTCCTCAACTTTTTCTTACGCGTTTTTACCCCAAAATTAATGTAGTTTTTATTGCTGTCATCACTCATTTTGTGTGCTGGGCTCCCAGGGTCTGTTTCACCCCTGCAGTGTTTCTCTGCTTCTGTGGTGCCTCTCTGTGCCTGTGGGGACAGTCCCTGCTGTCCCTCCAAGGCCAGGAGCTTGCTCAGTGCGTGGGTCTCCTTCATCCCAGCTGCCCAGGTTAGGACATCCAGCCTCAAAACATCCATCCAGAGGAAACAAGAAAAAGGAAAAGAAAAAGATGAAAAAAGAAAAGAAGAAAAGAAAGGAAAAGAAAAAAGAAAAGAAGAAAGAAAAGAAAAATTTAAGAAGTCCCTTCTGCGTTCTGTGTGCTTTTTGAATTCTGTGAGCTGTTAGGATTTTTTTAATGGTTTGCTGAAATGTTGAGAACCAGTTTCATGAAGGTGGGAGGCTTTTGTGTGATTCATTATTGACAGCTCTAGAATTATCTGCGAGACAGCTCTGGAGAGGGAGGGCAGAGCTCCTGCCTGCTGTGCCCCATGAGCTGCACAGAGCTCAGCCTTGGCTTTTGTTTTAATCAGGGCAAAGTTTCCATCGACTCACAGCAAATTGGGGTGGAATAGATTGATATGTATCTCACAAGGGGGTCCCTGGCAGCTGTGAGCAGCTCCAGACCAGCTTTGCCATCCTCCCTGGGGAGCTGGTTGGACTGGGAGATGCTGCCCCTCTCAGCTGCTTTCTGGAGTGGGGGGACCTGCTCTGAGTCAGCAGAATGAACACTGCAGACCTTCCCATGCAGTGCCATGTGCAGGAGTCACTGTCAGGGCAGCTGTTCTCCAACCCTCAGGAGGGATTTAAATGTTAAGCTTTTCTTTGGATTATTTTCTGCAGGGCTTTTTTTCCTCGTCTGTTTTTTTCCTCCCTGCATTTCAGTGTGTAGAATGTACCCTTGACACATTTTAAAAACATTATTAATCTTTGTCATTTGTGTTTTAAAAATAACTCAGTGATAGCAGCCAGTCCTTAAATCCTGTTTAATTCAGGCCGACCTTGTGAGCAGTGATCCTGGGGAGGGGGGGCTGCTGCAGCCTCCCATGTGCTCACTGGGTGCACATGTCCAGCAGCACAGGCACCCTCTGAGCTCGGGATCTTTGCAATTAAAACCACTTCTGTGGGTTTGGGTTGGCACTGGGCTCGGTTTCCGACCAAAAAGTTCTAACATAGTGGAAATGTGGGGTTTTTTTCCTGCAGAAAGAATTCCTCGGCTTTGCTGATTTCAGTTAATCAGAGAAGCAGAATTTATTTTAAAAAATCCCAAAATCAAAAAAACAAACAAAAAACCCCCAAAATAAAACCAAAAAACAAACAACAACAACCAAAAACCCCCAAACAAACAAACAAACAAAAAAACCCCAAAAAAAAGAAGATGAAAAGAAACAAACTATATTTTGGCATTTTGCTGTCTAAAATATCTGACAGCAGTTTTTTCAGTTTACAAACACAACGTTTTCAGTTGAAATACCCAGGAGATAAACCATGGGAAAAGAGATGAACGTGTTGTATTTGCCAAAAAAATAAAAATACGATGGAGCAAAGATTCAGAGGCAGCCCCCAGAGCAGCCCTGTCTGTGTTGTACTGAGCACCACGGGAGCCCCTGTGGCCCTGGCCACCCCAGGGTGGGCACCCTTGGGTGGGGGTGGCATGGCAGGGATGGGTTTCTGTGACCTGTGGCAAAGCTTACAGTTCTTACACCAGGGTGTAAGCCACAGGGCTGTGTATCACCAGCTGTGTATCCCCAGCCCAAGGGCAGAACAATCTCCTCCATTTCTGGGTCACTCTGCTGCCCCATCCCCAGCACGGCCTCTTGGGGTGGTTCCTCCACTAACCTGACTCTGCTTTCTCTCTTTTTGTGTCCCCAGTGCCTGTATGGCTGCTATGTCCATTCCTCCATCATCCCCACGTTTCACAGAAGGTGCTACTGGCTTCTGCAGGTAGGATGACAACGAGTTCTCTCTCTGGGGTCACCTGAGAGCTGCTGCAGCCACGTTCAGCTGCTGCCAGGGGGGATCAGCATCCTGTGCTTTACTGTCTGGGGGATTTTGTTTTGTCTGAAAGGGAATTGGGTCTTCTTAGCTGTATGTCTCTGTTTGGAGGGATTATATATTTTCTCTAGCAATGGGGAGCTGATGCCATTTCATATGTTCTCTAAACATGGAGTTGGCCCAAGTGAGACTTTCTGGAGGTTTCTGGTTGTGTTGTTCCATCCTGAAGCAAGGCAGGAGCCAGAGAAGTGAATACAGTGAATACAGGGTGCTACAGTGGCATACACAGGCATACCATGGTGTGGGAGAGACACCAGCCCTGGGCTGTGCTTGACTTTGTGGAGAACCCTGGGGCTGTGTTTGAGTTTGGGGTGAACCTTGGAGCTGGTCCTGCAGTGGATCTGCTTTCCTCCAGTGAGATATTCAGTCTCCAGGGAGTACTTGAAGTCACTCAATGATTTTTCTTCTGGCTGTTGTGGGAACAGCAAAGTCCAAGGAGGAGTCGAGCCAAATTTTCCTCTTATTTACAACAGGGTTTGGGCAGCCCCCCTGGGGCTGTGGGGGTGTGCAAAGGATCTCATGTGGGAATTTGCCCGGGGGGTGTTTGCTGACCCCACCTTTGAGGAGCTGTTCACATTCTTGACTGGTTACTATGGTGTACAAAGTGGAAGTAATTTGTTTTCTTTCATTATGAAATGACACTTGACACATACTGTAAAAATATTGTTTTAAAGATTAAACTCCCATGGTCCTGAAAACAAACAAGTCTGAGGAAAGTGGCATCTGTTTCTAGAAGCAAATGGAAAAGAATTCCTGTTTCTCTTTCCGGTTTTGCAATTGCACTTCCATATTAAAAAAAGAAGGCACTGGTGCTGTCACTGGGGCAGGACAGAGCCCTCACAACCCACAGAGGATGGTGCCCACACCATGGACATAATGAAAGGAAACACGCAGCAGATGTCACCCTCCTCTGTGATATCTGTGTGTTCTCAGCTCTGTTTGCATCTGTGGCATAAAAATGCTGTGTGCAAGGAAAGAGGAGATGCTTGGCTGCAGTGGTGGGAGCAGCTCTGCACCTCTCAGAGGAGAATTGTGGCTCCTCTGAAATCACAGCGTGACTGCATCGATCCTGTTCCCTCACAGCTGCCCAGGCTGTGCTTGTCCTCCTCGAGAGCTCCTGGCCCCAAAGGTCACCTCTTTTCTCTTCATTTCTGAGCTTTGTATTGCTTTTTCTCATTGTGATGTGCTCCCTAGAAGTGCTGCTGGCCCTGGCTGCTGTGGCACTCAGCCAGCATCTCCCTGATGGGTTGCACTGCAGCACTGTAGGATCTCTGAGCTGTTCCCCCAGGTCTGGCTCTTCACATTCACAGGGTGTGCATCAATGTTTAGTCATTTTCTTTGCTCTGGTAATCACTTTTTGTCAAGTGGATGGGAAGTACATTTTTTAGAAGCCTATTTATAAAATGTGCTGCAGGACATCTCGCTGTGGCTGTGGTAGACTGGTATTCCTCAACAAGGACATGCTGTGCCTTGGCTGTGGGAGGAAGAGGGGTCTGTGATTCATGGCAGCATCTCCAGGCACCGACGGGCATCCTTCAGTCATGCGCTCAAGGTTGTGCAGCCAGCAGAAAGGAGCTGGCCAAGAATAGATGCCACTTCCCTATCTCTGCACACTGCTTGTGTTCAGCTCCATGGTGAATTCAGGAGCAGTGACACCACAGAGACAGAAGGTGTTTTGTGCATCTCCTTCAGAAGCTTTCACTTCCAACAGCACTGGTAAATGAGTTTGATATTCAGAAATAGGTGTAGCCAGGGCAATGTGTAATGTGTTTAGCTTTATAGTTCACTGAGGCACATGGGTGACTTTCCCTTTTTTTTTGGGGAGACATCCAGCACCTTCCTGGGACTCCCTCTGTGCAGTGACTGGTCAATGGGGAGTAAATGCAATTAGTCTGCAATGCTGTCTATGTTTTATGGGATGATCTTCCTCCAAATCCCACTGTCAGGTTAGATATTGATTAAAAAGCCCCACACAAATGTTCTTGATATTTTCTGCCTCGCATTTTCAGTGTAAAGGCCAGGACTCAAACCAGCCACAGGGACTCACAGCCTTTCTCATGCATTTACACGGAGCCCTAGCCATTAATTATATGGTGATGTCCAATTTCTTACTTAAACAACTTTGTGTTGTCATTTATGATTGACATGATGTGCCTGCTCCCTGCAGACTGGTCAGAGGGATGAGAAATGAGAACCAGTCATCTGGAACTGCATGATTCAGTTTTCTGGGTCTCTGCTGGAAGTTCTTAGGCTGTTGGCAGAGACCATGGTGCTGGCAGCTGTGGCTGGGGTCTGCTGCATGGGGCCTCCACCTCTCTCTACTGAAGGGATTTCATGTTTTTGAGACATTTCAAGCTTTCTTGATAACAGATTTTAAATGCTGCCTTACCCTAAAGACCTTTAGTATTTGTAATAGGCTCTGTAATTTCCAAGCCAGCATTGACACGTTCCTGCTGGGCACTGGTAGCCTCTTGCATGGATACTCTCTTGGCCACTCACTCTTGGGCCCGAATGAAGAAAGCATGCCCAAGGTGGTGGTTTCCTACATTTGGTTCTCATATTTTTCTTTTGATTATCTGATCTCTAGAGATATGAGATCATGCTGAGTGACACAGGCAGAGAAGAAGATGGGGATGAGGACACGGGTGGCCTCTTCATAGGTTGCTGGGGAATACCTCAGTAGAACTTCAGTTTTTTATTGTTTTACATTATCTGTTTGCTTCTGAAGAGATGCAGAGCCCTGGCTGTCCACAGTTCACTGAGGGTGGAGCAGAGCTTCTGAAATATTTTCTGAGATGGGGGTGATGGCAGGTCCCAGCCTCCAGCAGAGGCCGTGGCACAGCTGTGACTCTGAGTGCCTTGGTTTGTCACTGGCAGGACTCAGGCTGCCCATGTTAGACCTTCAGCACACTGCCAGATTTTGTATCAATGGAAAAAGAAGAAGAAACCCCCTGTTTGTACTTGTACTGACTAATGGAGGGAAAATGTGGAATCTCAGACATGGATGATTTTCAAACATTGGCACAGCTGAGCAGGGAGATGCAGCGTTCCCTTCTGTGTGTTGGAAATTGGCACCCCAGGAACTGAAAATTAATCTGGCTGCCAGGCTTCCAGGCAGGCTGCTGCTTGCCAGGGTTACAGAGGCTTTGCCTTCACCCATGGGCTGTGATGGGCCCCTTGCTCACTCCCACTCCTGTGCTGCACAGCTGCAGATGCTGAGTTTGTTAGATGCTCGTTGTGTTCCACCTGTAGCAGATACTGATGTCTCCTTTAGTGCTGGTGTTCAGGTGCTGTGGGGATGGGAGGGAATACATATTTTAAAAGTGTTGCCCTTTTTCTTAATTAGAAGTACAGTGCTAGAGGATCATGCTAAAAACATGTAAATTTAGACCTCTTGGATGGTTAAACAAATGAAGACTAACAGGGCTTGGGGAGAGGTGGCAGAGAGCTGTTTCACATTGCACATGCATTAACTGCTCACTGAATAATTCAGAATTGGTGCAGAAGAGTGGCAGTGGCACTGCTCTGGCAGGTGAGCCAAGGAAGCAGAGTGGGATGCAGGCTGAGCTAGGCAGGCACAGGGACACACCAGAGCTCCAAGGAGCCCTGTTGTAAATCCAGTGTTTGCAGTAATTGCTGAAATGTGATAATCCAGTTCTCTGGGAGCCTGGGGGAAAAACTGCATTTCATCTTTATTGCTCACACACTCACAGGATGCTCCCAGCAGCCATGGAAGTCATGGAATACTTCTCTGTAGGGTGGGAAATGGCAGGAGAAAGTCAGGGACAGCAGCAGTCCTGCCAGGTGTGACATCCAGGCAGGATGTCTGCCACACAAGGAGCGAGTGGGAGATGCTGGGGGGCACTGGTGGTGGGCAGGATTTGGGTAGTGGTATTTAATTACTGTTCCTGTGGTTCTGTGTGCACCAGCTGTGCCTTGCAGAGTATGTGTAAGCACTGATTGAATGTCAGAGGCTTTTGCAATATTCTCTCTTTACTCCGTTTTTTTTTCTGAATTCTTCCTTCTGATACACTTGAATATTCAGCAGTTTGTTACTATGAGTGTCTGCACTGATGCTTGATGCCCCCTGAGTGTGTTCCCTTCCTAAAATACATCTTGTCTGAAAGCTGTGGGCAGAAAATATCAAAACCTAAAACTCACTTAAAATGTTCTACATGACATCTGTCACCGTCCTGCATAAATTTATTGTTTGTTCTATATTTTTTGCCATGGTTTTCCATTATGCCCCAAACAAGAGGAAGCCCTTCCCATTTATTTTTGATAGCACCCCGTCAGAGCAGCATTTCCCTCTCTGATCACTTGTGCTGTGCTGTGTCAGCAGCATCTCCTGCCTCCCTGGCTGGAGCAGCGACAGACAGCTTGAGGATTTGGGGCTTTTTCAACATAAATTGGAAGCATTACAATCTCATAAAATTTCTCAAGACTTTTGCTTAGTAATGGGTTTTTATTTTTCATTTGGGTGAAATAAAAGTGGCTGGGCAATAAAGCACAGAGAATGCTGTGCTGCACATGGGCACTCAGCTGGGTCCTGTGTGTTGGGGGTGGGATGTGAGCAAGGCCTCAGCACAAGGAGCCTTTGCATTTTTGCTAACAGGGTTATAAACTGTTGCTGCTATGCTGGCACCTGTTCCCAAAGTGTGTTTTAGCCTGTGTGGTGAAATGAAGTGGTGTAGAAGTACAGCAGAGAATGGTCTGTGGTACTGAGCCACCTCCAGTGTGGCTGCACATCCCAGTCATGCTCGGGACACAGGTGAGTGTTCACAGAGCAGAATTGTGGTTCCTGTTCCCAGTGCCCTGTGTGCAAGTGGAGCTGTGCTGGAGAGGAGTCTGGGTGTCAGGAGACCAAACAGCAGTTCCAGGAGAGCAGA